GGAAATAGAGAATTATGACAACGAGCATGGAAAGGTCATCATTTCACAATTACACATGGCTGCCATGACCTTTGAGATCTATTGGCAGTTGGCTTGAGTTTGGTATCAATTTAAGTTCCAACTTCCTCTCTGGGCCCCGTTTCACAAAGCCATGGAAGGGGTACAAACACAACTTATTTACTTTAACCTGGCTTTGTGAATCAGGGCCCTGGGGGACAAACTAATAAGAGTGAGTGAGTTGGGTTAACGCCGCTTTGAACGTTCCAGTTATTTCATGGCGTGTCCGAGGAAAGCCCGAAGTGATGAAGGTCTTGGACGTTTACCTCTTTGGTGAAGCCCACGAGGACAGGTATGGTGCCGACAAACCTTGAAACATAATCGAGGCAAACCGGGATTCGAACTAATAATAACCTGCTTTAGAGGAAGATGTGATGGTTTAAGAAATAAAACATTCTAGCCTGGTCCACTTCTCCACATGGATCAAAGATGAGTATATTATTCCTGAGAGAGCAATCACTTGAGGTTAGTGTGTGTGTGTGTGTGTGTGTGTGTGTGTGTGTGTGTGTGTGTGTGTGTGTGTGTGTGTGTGTGCTAATTACATGATGAAATAGATATTCAAATAAATGAAATATATCATGTTATTATCTTTCAGACATGTCCTGTTTCTAGTTGACGTGTCAGTTCGACAGAAATGTTCCTGAAGCATCATTGGAATGAGAGAGAGAGAGAGAGAGAGAGAGAGAGAGAGAGAGAGAGAGAGAGAGAGAGACTCTGTGTGTGTTGGGGGTGTTTGGTTTGACATTATCATGTTATGGGTTATCTCAATTACGTTTTCCAACATATATAGGTGCTCAATTATTATATTTTTATTATTTAAGAAATATACAACGAGTGGGAGTTGTTTATCGTACAATAAAACAATGCAGGGTATAATAAACCATGAGGGACGCAGCATGAGGCATATGTTATAAAAATATTAGTAAAACAGGGGCATGGTAAGTTTTTCACAACAAATTAGCAACAGTCCATGCTATCAAGTAAACGACGACAGTCACGCCACGTCACATCTTAGAGTCAGCAATATGATGCCGGACCCACTTTTATATATATATTTATACTTATAAGTATATCAGTAGCTACTGGTCCCCATGTAGAGTCTGACTTACCCCCAGATATCCTCCCCCAGATGTCCCGCCAGTAAGTGCCTGTGTCAGACTTTCTGTGCAGGTGGTTCACGCACTCGGCTTAACGCTACACTGTTACGGGGCCTTGCGGAGGATTACACAGACCAGGTTTAGTCAGGATGAAGTGTATTAGCATTTTAAGTAGGAGCAACTGTTTCACAATAATATACTGCATGTTTATTTTGCCTCTGGGGTAAATGGAAACAGCTTAAAGCTATGTTTTGAATGTGTTCGTTTGTTGTTTAACGCCGCACTTAGCAATTTTCCAGCTGACGGCGATCTGGGCCAGATAATCCAGAGACTGACATCATGCGCATCGATCTTCACAACTGGGATACAATGACATGCACCAACCAAGTCAGAGGGCGTTGACCACCCGATCCCTCTTAACACAAGCATAGTCGCCTCTTACGACAAGCATAGTCGCCTCTTACGACAAGCATAGTCGCCTCTTACGACAATCATAGTCGCCTCTTACGACAAGCATAGTCGCCTCTTGCGACAAGCACAGTCGCATCTTACGACAAGCATAGTCGCCTCTTACGACAATCATAGTCGCCTCTTACGACAATCATAGTCGCCTCTTACGACAATCATAGTCGCCTCTTACGACAAGCATAGTCGCCTCTTACGACAAGCATAGTCGCCTCTTACGACAAGCATAGTCGCCTCTTACGACAAGCATAGTCGCCTCTTATGACAAGCATGGGTTGCTGAAGACCCGGAAACTTCACGGGACGTGTTTTAATTGCGTTTTTTTATTCGTTTAATCCCCTTTATGTAGCATGTTTTTTGTAACCTCTGTTGTAATCTGATGTAAGACAATTCCCTATGGGCAATACTTAAAGCATCTTATCTTATCTCATATATGTTTCAATTACTCAGCCTTAGAAATTCGATATTTAAGACTTGTCCCGAAGACTGATGTAAACCTTATTCCACTTGTCCGCGGAGTTTGTAGCTAGTCCTGCTTGAATGGGACAAAAATGGTTACTATGTTTACATTTCTGCCAGTTTTATTCAGTTCCAGTTCGTAGCAAAATTGAAGCATTGAGAATTGGTTCAGATTTATAGCCCTCAAATGTATCGAGTCAATGAGGACTAAGATCATTGGATTTCCACTTGTGCTGTTGCGCCTGTCAGGTTTTCCACATACAGCTGTGTGGTGAGAAATCACTGAAGTGTATTACAACATAAAATCCCTGCACCTGTCAGGTCAACACTGAAGTGTAATACAACATAAAATCCCTGCACCTGCCAGGTCAACATAATATTATGACAACTGTTGGGTGATAAATCACTGAAGTGTATTACAACATAAAATCCCCGCATCTGCCAGGTCAACATAATATTATGACAACTGTTGGGTGATAAATCACTGAAGTGGAATACAACATAAAATCCCCGCACCTGTCAGGTCAACACTGAAGTGTAATACAACATAAAATCCCTGCGCCTGTCAGGTCAACATAATATTATGACAGCTGTTGGATGATAAATCACTGAAGTGGAATATAACATAAAATCCCCGCATCTGCCAGGTCAACATAATATTATGACAATTGTTGGGTGATAAATCACTGAAGTGGAATATAACATAAAATCCCCGCCTCTGCCAGGTCAACATAATATTATGACAACTGTTGGGTGAGAAATCACTGAAGTGGAATATAACATAAAGCGGAATACAACATAAAATCCCTGCACCTGCCAGGTCAACATGTGAATACAGCTGTGTGGTAATAAAAGTTCAGTTTCCACATTGTCATAATATTATGTTGACCTGGCAGTGCAAGTGTTTTGATGCACATTGCAAGGGAAAACCCGTTTTATTACAATAAATATCTTTATTATTGATGAGATCATTTTGACTTGCTGCCACCATTTTGTTTGAAGCTAATCCAAGTGATATGAAAGGTGGAATCGGATTGGTCAGTAGGAGGGACATAGAAGGGACATAACTCGTAATAGCCACTAGTAGCGCTTCGATGGAGACCAGAAATTCCAGCCTAAAAGTACTCACGGAAATGAAAAAAAAATATTTCGACCTCAGATCTTAAATAAATGCAGTTAATATACAAAATATGTAAATATTTAAACAACTAAATTAGTACTTATTGGGCCGTGGCACAAATACAGCGTATCAAATGTTTTTATGCCTTTTTACACGTAAAAGTGTGTAAAAATGTGAATAAAACAGACACCAGGGCATAACCAGGTGTAAGTAGATCAAGGTGACCTATGACACCTTGACGACAGGTGAGAACAGGTGCATAATGCCTATAGTCTATTTCTGCTATGTCAATTTGGACTTAGTTTTATTTTTGAATGTTGAAAGTGCCGACAAATTACCTCCTGTAAAGTACATTTTGTATTGTTCACTGAGATCAAACTAGCAAATCCAGACTAGTACTTTTCGAGTTGTTTTGGTATTTCGTATTTACAGCTATGTAACACTTTGTGTCGATTTTTAAATTGAGAAAAACAGCGTTTTTTCATTTCCGTGAGTACTTTAGTTCGGCAAGGGTGGAAACTGGACTTTTAAAGTCAGTTATTTCCCTTGCTTTGAGAAGATGACTACTGGTTGTTTTGAACCCAGATTCACACCCGGAATCCCCAGACATCTGTAGCTATTCCTCTCCTTCAGAATGGGAGGAAGCGTTGAGACACAACAGAGATTCAGAGATGCATAAATATAAAATCTTTATTTTCATCTCGGACATATATTGTATACAGATAAACAATGACTTGAATCATAAATTTATTCTTTTAAATAATGCCTGCATAAATATATAAAGAGTGTCTCTGTCTTGTTTGATTTTAAGAATCTGTTCTGTAATGATTCACCCCTTAGTATTGCATATAGTGTAATCTGATTAATTCAGGTATTGTAACTATGGGTACATGATTAATTGAGACCTTGTTACTATGAAAACATAACCAATTCAGTCCAATTTCAAAAAGACAACAATAAAATCATTCAAATGGACATAAAAATGGACAGAAAATACTGGCCATAGGAATCGCATTGCACACATGGTATACTGTAGTAGCAATAATCATTCATCCACTCACCAAAGACCCCGGGGCGGTCGGGTAGCCTAGTGGTTAAAGCTTTCGATCATCACGCCGGAGACCCGGGTTCGATTCCCGACATGGGTACAATGTGTGAAGCCCATTTCTGGTGTCCCCCGCCGTGATATCGCTGGAATATTGCTAAAAGCGGCGTAAAACATACTCACTCACTCACCAAAGACCCAAACCCACCCACCCCCACACACACTGTCCATCCCCCACTCAGTCACCATAATACCAAGAAGTATGTGTGTCCATTATAATGTTGAGGTAGCTAGGGGTTGATTTGTTCGCAAATTTCCAACAATATGCAAATCCTATTCTTGATGTCACCTGCCATGATACCCAATATTCACAAGGAGGCACAGGTGGCCGCCATCTTCGGCACCGCAATCCATTCTGTGTGTCCTTTAGGCAAGCCAGATTCCGAATAATCTTAAACGCAATGTTAAACTGCATTTCAACCTCCCACCCTAAAGAAACAACAAAAACACACATACACTCGCCCCACTCACTCACTCACCCACCCACTCCATTGAGCACCTGTATATGTTACATTGATCTCCATTAACCTGACAATCACTCATTAATCAGTCTTGTTAATCCGACACAGTCATCAGCGTACTCCGTGGTCATCTGCCCGCGAGTACACAGCCCGTGTTTTGATGCGAGACCAGTCGGCTAGTAGCTGCATATTACAACGGCTAGATGAGAGATAAGCTTGCTTAACAATAAACAATGCCTTAAATAAACAAAACAAGATTAGAAAAAATCACATGCTTAGAGGTTGCATGATTAGAAAACAAACTCCGCTAACAACGTAACATAACATCATAAATATTTCCTTTTTCACTTTTTTTTTATTAGAAGATGTTTGTACTGTTACCATGTAGTTGTCCCATTTTCGATCACAAACTTTGATACAACTTAATTTCGTTTATCTGATATACTCGTTAATACAACATAATAATATGCATCCAACCATGTCAGATTAACAGGACTTGACTGTATATTATAATTATTGAGCATAGATTCTCTGAGATCACATACTAAAGTTAATTTTGTCAGAGCAATTTCCAAATATAAAAAATGTAGACAATTCATGCCGTTTGGGAGTATCGCGTGTTCCATGTTCACTATGGTAAGTGTACAATAATTCTTTCAATCAATCATAACATTAAGAGAAATGCAGAGGAAGGTTTTGACACAGTCCCTCAGTACCAGGGGAGCTTCTCAATGTCAGTGTTTCCTCCACACAGAATGACACCGATGTGTCTCAAGTTGTCGTCCATGTCCCGTAGTCGCTGTGAGAACGCTGCTGCCACAGCCGCGCCAGAGGCTGCTTCGATTACAAGCTGAACATAGAAACAAAGCTTTGTTACACTGACCAATGTGTATGTTCAGATAGAAGTGAGGTGAAATGGGGTTTAGCATCATGTTCAAGATTATTGCATGTGTGTGTGCGTACAGAGCTCATTTCGGACTATGGTTATGTAAAATAACTAGATAAAAGAAATAAATGAACTAGTCCATCCAGATCGTCACAAGTCCCAGACTCGTGGATGTCTATCACTGTGTAGTACTAAAAGGTGAGTGAGTTAGGTTTAATGCCTTTTCAGTGAGTGAGTGAGTGAGTGAGTGAGTGAGTGAGTGAGTGAGTGACGTTTTATGCCGCTTTTAGCAATATTCCATCAATACCACGGCAGGGGACACCAGAAATATTGGTATTGAACCCAGGGGCTCGGCATGACGAGCGAACGCTTTAACCTCTAGGCCACCCCACCAGGGCATGGAAGCTCAATGAGGAAGTAGAGTCTAATTGATGCATCTCACACATATTTACTACTTCAGTTCATCAAAAAGTGAAGACGTGATTTGAACCTTTGACCAGCACAGATGAACTGCAGTGAGTCAACACAATGGGCCACCCTATCCCCCACTTAGTGACGACAATGTTGATGATGATGATGATGATGATGGTGATGGTGATGATGATGACGATGACGATGATGATGATGATCCTACCTTCATTCTCTGGAAGACAAACTTCATCCCCTCCTTCATGTCTTCATTTGTCTGAAAGAGAAATGTATGTTAATCAGACAATAATACTTTGATCTTGATACATTCATGAAATCGATATTTGGATTTAACTCTTATATAAACAAACAACACAAATGTATAATGTTTGAACAAATAGGTATGCATTTATGTTTCAAGTACTTATATGAAGACAAAGTTCAAAATAGTCATATATTTAGGGTTAAATTTAAGCATCAAATCATCAACTGGCTGAATTAAGTCTTTCTCGTCCAGGTGATGGTGAACTACTCACCTGGGTAAACACCTCTTTCTCGTCCAGGAGATGGTGAACTACTCACCTGGGAAAACACCTCTTTCTCGTCCAGGAGATGGTGAACTACTCACCTGGGTAAACACCTCTTTCTCGGCCAGCTGACACAGAATTGGGAAAGTATTGTTTCCTGCCTGCTGAAGACGAATCCCGTCAGCGATGGTGTCCAGGTATTGAGGAGGATTCGGCCATAGACGCTCCCCTGATCAGAAAGGTTTCAACACCTTTATGAAGTTTCACAAGTTTCACAAGTTTCACAATAGTTTACAAATATTGTTGTTATTTTCCTCTCTTCTGCTTCTAAATTTCTAGAAGAAGTAAATTGAGGCCATATTACATTTTTTAAATAATGCCACGGCAAACTAGGTGACGTGGCGGCCATATTGAAAATCAGAGTAAAAGCTTTTAACAAATCCAGGTGTCACTGGTGGGAACAAATAAGTGAAGTGCCAGCGTCACTGGTCCAGTGCTTTCTGAGATGATGTTCACAGGTTCAGTAAATTCAGTTTGAGAAAATTAAGGGTGGGGTCAACGTGCCAAGGTCAATTAAAAGTCAAAATGTAAAATATCATAAAAATGGAATACATGTACTGAGCACCACTATCGACTACATAATTATCAAATTTAATGACATTTTGAAATTAAATGTCTGAGTAATGTCCATAACAAGTTTCTGCTTTCAGTATGATCTCAGTGCAAAGGTCAAACATGTCAAAGCACAGTCAATATGTAAAATATCACACAACATACCAACTTTCATTACACTTTTGAACAAAAATGGCTGAGTCGTGGCCATAAAGAGGTTTTTCAATATGGCTGCCGTGGCACAATGCATGAAAGACAAACAGGCCATGACACAAGCTCAGTTCACTTTCAGTCTGGTTAGACTAAAAAACAAAACTCTTTGTATCTGCACTTACAAGACTAATAATGACGGAAGCTAGTCTACTGTTAATATTATTTCACAGGGCTGCTTTTTGTAATGCTCCCTGTATCAATGCAATGCCTGTTTGCTCAAAAGAAGTTTGCCTATGTAAGACCTGATGAGTTGAGTAGGAAATGAAATTTGTACTTTGTGTTTCAAATGTGCAGTGTTCTAAAATAGAAGACATGAAATGAAAGTTTTTCAAAATGGATGACAGGGTTTGAACCTGCAACCTCACTATCATGTTTAGTTTTGTAACCCCCTGTTTCCCACTGAGCCGCCGGGGAAGGTTATGAAAAGTTGTTCAGTTTTACATGTCATGACTTCAGTTTTTGTGCATGCTGCATGTTGTCTTTCTTTTGCATGCTTTGATCGCTTTTACATTTTCAAGCAAAACCTTGGAGTCATGTTTTATCCTTAACTTATAGCAGAGTTGGGTCTAAGCCAGGTGTATTGCTTCACAGACATGTCATTATTCATGTATAAAATCACATAGGTATGCCTTGATATTAGAACAAATTTCTTACCAGTCTTAAGACATTTTTCCATCATTTTTCCTTCTGGTTCCACAAGAAATACTGCAAATTAAAGAATTCTAAAATAAAGAATCAAAGACCACAAGAGATGAATTATTACATTTTCTTGTTTATATGTTATTATTCAAAATGTTCAAGGTAAATGTGAACATAAATGATGATGGATGTGATTCAAAACTGGACAAGTCTATTCTCAACCCAGACACTGGTTTCGAATAGCACCAATCAGCAACAGATGATAAATGGTCAATTTCGTGGTCCACCTTTGATCTCTGGCTTGATGGCCTTGGCTGCTATGGCGATGCCGGACGACATTCCACCACCACTAATTGGCACCAAGATGGCGTCCAGCTCCGGCACCTGCTCCAACAATTCCACCGCTATTGTACCCTGCAGGCATAAAGAAAGAGATAATTCGTCGGTAAAATCCACTTGTCGCTAGTCAACGTCACTCATACTAGACAGTAGGGCATCACAACTGACAATCTTCCACTTTGACATTTTGTTACTGATGGACCCAGCTATGACATCATAGTGTTTGTCGCCCCACCTGTCTAGCTATGACATCGTAGTGTTTGTCGCCCTACCTGCCCAGCTATGACATCGTAGTGTTTGTAGCCCTACCTGCAAAGCTATGACATTGTAGTGTTTGTAGCCCTACCTGCCCAGCTATGACATCGTAGTGTTTGTAGCCCTACCTGCCCAGCTATGACATCATAGTGTTTGTAGCCCTACCTGCAAAGCTATGACATCGTAGTGTTTGTAGCCCTACCTGCCCAGCTATGACATCGTAGTGTTTGTAGCCCTACCTGCCCAGCTATGACATCATAGTGTTTGTCGCCCTACCTGCCCAGCTATGACATCATAGTGTTTGTAGCCCTACCTGCCCAGCTATGACATCGTAGTGTTTGTAGCCCTACCTGCCCAGCTATGACATCGTAGTGTTTGTCGCCCTACCTGCCCAGCTATGACATCGTAGTGTTTGTCGCCCTACCTGCCCAGCTCTGACATTATAGTGTTTGTCGCCCTACCTGCTCAGCTATGACATCGTAGTGTTTGTTGCCCTACCTGCCCAGCTATGACATCGTAGTGTTTGTCGCCCTACCTGCCCAGCTATGACATCGTAGTGTTTGTCGCCCTACCTGCCCAGCTATGACATCGTAGTGATTGTCGCCATACCTGCCCAGCTATGACATCGTAGTGTTTGTCACCCTACCTGCCCAGCTATGACATCGTAGTGTTTGTCGCCCTACCTGCCCTGCTATGACATCAGTGTTTGTCGCCCTACCTGCCCAGCTATGACATCGTAGTGTTTGTCGCCCTACCTGCCCAATTATGACATCGTAGTGTTTGTTGCCCTACCTGCCCAGCTATGACATCATAGTGTTTGTCGCCCTACCTGCCCAGCTATGACATCGTAGTGGTCGTACGGAGACACAAACTCATAGCCTTTTTCCGCCATCACTTTCTGGCAAACTGTCTCCCTGGAACCAGATTTTACAGTGTCCATTACTTTTTGGTTAAAGAATAAATAAGAAAATTCATCATTGTTTTACCACCATCAAACACAAAATGTTCCATTTTAATGACAATCTGTATATATTATTTCACCAAACTAGGGTCGTCACAGTCTCACATGTTGGAGGATTGTGACAATCTCACACGTCGCAGAATCATGACAATCTCACACGTCGCAGGATCGTGACAATCTCACCTGTTGGAGGATTGTGACAATCTCACACGTCAGAGGGTCATGACAATCTCACCTGTTGGAGGATTGTGACAATCTCACACGTCGGAGGGTCATGACAATCTCACCTGTTGGAGGATTGTGACAATCTCACACGTCGGAGGGTCATGACAATCTCACCTGTTGGAGGATTGTGACAATCTCACACGTCGGAGGGTCATGACAATCTCACCTGTTGGAGGATTGTGACAATCTCACACGTCGGAGGGTCATGACAATCTCACCTGTTGGAGGATTGTGACAATCTCACACGTCGGAGGGTCATGACAATCTCACCTGTTGGAGGATTGTGACAGTCTCACACGTCGGAGGGTCATGACAATCTCACCTGTTGGAGGATTGTGACAATCTCACACGTCGGAGGGTCATGACAATCTCACCTGTTGGAGGATTGTGACAATCTCACACGTCGGAGGGTCATGACAATCTCACCTGTTGGAGGATTGTGACAATCTCACAAGTCGGAGGGTCATGACAATCTCACCTGTTGGAGGATTGTGACAATCTCACAAGTCGGAGGGTCATGACAATCTCACCTGTTGGAGGATTGTGACAATATCACACGTCGGAGGGTCATGACAATCTCACCTGTTGGAGGATTGTGACAATCTCACACGTCGGAGGGTCATGACAATCTCACCTGTTGGAAGATTGTGACAGTCTCACATGTCAGAGGGTCATGACAATCTCACCTGTTTGAGGATTGTGACAATCTCACACGTTGGAGGGTCATGACAATCTCACCTGTTGGAGGATTGTGACAGTCTCACACGTCGGAGGGTCATGACAATCTCACCTGTTGGAGGATTGTGACAATCTCACACGTCGGAGGGTCATGACAATCTCACCTGTTGGAGGATTGTGACAATCTCACACGTCGGAGGGTCATGACAATCTCACCTGTTGGAGGATTGTGACAATCTCACACGTCGGAGGGTCATGACAATCTCACCTGTTGGAGGATTGTGACAATATCACACGTCGGAGGGTCATGACAATCTCACCTGTTTGAGGATTGTGACAATCTCACACGTCGGAGGGTCATGACAATCTCACCTGTCAGAGGATCATGACAATCTCACCTGTTGAGGGTCATGACAATCTCACCTGTCAGAGGATCATGACAATCTCACCTGTCACTTGTCTCACCTGTCAGAGGATCATGACAATCTCACCTGTTGAGGGTCAACACAACCCCACCTGTCAGAGGATTATGACAATCTCACCTGTTGGAGGGTTGTGAGCCACATGTGGCCAGTTCTGCACCATATCCCCTTATTGCTGCCTTCTTGACTTCTGGGGCATATTCGGGGACAACCACCGCACACGGGACCCCTGCCACGCCTGCTGCCCATGCCACAGCCTGGCCATGATTCCCACTGCTGTGGGTGACCTTGGTCAACACAAAATACAGTGAGCCGGGAACACAACAAGAAAACAACATCACCACGTCTACGTGCCCAGCAGTGTTGAAGATCTTCATCATTATCATATAAGTAAACGGTACATTGGACAGATACGTTGTTGATACAGGTGATACCTGCATTCGATCAGCAAACAAGCATGAAATACCCATAAATACCCAGCCAATATGACATGTCTGGTTGTGAGCAAGGCAAGAAACAGTGTACGGTTTTCAAGATCTGCTCTGGAAACTAGCACCACTGCCATTTCAGTCTAAGTCAAAGTGTTGCTATGGAAACTCAATAAATAATTTTTGAAAAAATCCCAAATTATCACAAGGCGCCAGTTTACCACTAGACCTATCTATGTGCCAAGTTTGGTGAAGAAATATTGTACAGTTTTTAAAATCTGCTCTGGAAAGAGTTACCCAGTTGGATGTGTCAACCAAACCACTTAGATTGCAATCTTTTATTGTAGGTGGGGTGGATGAAAGAAATCTTGATTGATCATTTTACAACTTACCACCCCAGTGAATGATGGCTTGGTTTCTTTTAAACTCAGTATCTGAAAGATAAATACACATAATTATTTGCTATCTGACCAGTAGGGCTGTGTATTGGCAAAACAACAGTATTGCAATATGTACTGCGATATACTGGGAGCTGAAGTGTTGACATTAATCTACGCAGATTGCAGATACTAGTTTCTACATACTAAACTAAATATTACTCAGCATGGTCAATCACTGCACCATTTTGTAGTCATGGATACAGGGGAGATAACAGCCTGAGAGACAATTCACTTCAGCGTTTCCACTGTTCTGTCAATCAAGTTCAAACGGAAACATCTTTTGTGAATGAATAACTGACCATAAATGATAGAAATAATACCAATAGATTTTAGGATAAATGATAGAAATAATACCAAAACTTGTTATATTTTGTAACCCCCATATAGCGGTAATACCATTTATTCCTAATGTTCAGGTTTTAACTTATGTTTCTTCATATTTAGCTTACATAAATTAGGTCAAACCAATTGTTAGTTCCAGCTGAAATAGGAGAGTGTCAAGGGACTGTAGCTCACCTGATAGTCAACACAAATCTGAATAATGTAATCAGCAAAACTGATCCTGTTGGACAAAGCTTGGACTCACAGTCCCAGTCAATTAGATCAACATACAGTGTTTTCAAATCAGAGCTAGGTTACCCGTAGATTTAACCATGCAAAATTGAATTTGGAAGCGAACGTTCTGTATGAGGTTTCAAATGTTTAATTTAGAGCCAATCTGCACTTCATAACCTATAATTGTATATATAATTTTCAAAAAATGCCTACTGACAATGACTGAAATAAATTATTTTCCATTAATATTATCTTCTGCAGTAAAGCAAACATCAAATTGGCTGTTTCAATCATAAGTGGATATTGTGATTTGATACCTCAGACTGACCAATCAGAATCAAGTATTTTCCAAATCCATTGTAGAATTTGATTCCATACTGTAAAACACCACTTGGTTTGTCTGCGAGTCCACAGAAAGAGGAAATGTAAATGGCCCATATTGGCCCACGGGATATGTGAAATAAGTAATGAATAAAACTAAATTTCGTTAATTTCAACAACTGCATCGATAAATATAAATGTGTCAAAAAGGCTGCTTTTAGAGAATTTCAGAAAATGTTCAAACATGTTCTAATATTAGAACATCAGCAAGTCCTTGGCCCAAGCTGATTTTATAGGATATGATAAAATACTCATCTCGGGTTTTGCTCATACTTAGATTTTCTTTTGAAATTCTAAACATCTGCCTTTTTCACTTATTTTAGCCACATGTATGTATTTGATCATGTCGGAAGTCCAGAACTTGCAACTGTAAAGGGATAAAGGATTAATTGTCAGCCATTTGTTCCTGTCTGATAACTTTTAACCAACATTTCAAAGTTTTCTCCAACTTTGACATTTAACATTTCCAATGGGCCAAAGAGGGTCCTTATCCTGCCTTGTCCTTTGATTAATCTGGGAAGAAGCAGAAAAAGTAGATTTGGAAAAGTGTATATATCCAATATTATATTATTGCATTAAACAGACAATTCAGCCTTGACATTTATTGTGGTTTCCAGCTGGCCCTACTTTTTTCCTACCGACTTAACCAAATTAACAGTTTGAGGAACTAAAAAATATATTTGAAACTGAAATTTAAAAAAAACCAATTGGACCTAATGACCTGAATTTTTGGGGTAAAAAATCTGTAACACCCCATTCATTGATCCAGAGGTTTCTGACATGCCTTTTAAAGGTTTTAGGCCTAGTCAGGTGAGCTAGAAATGAATATTATTACTTACACCAATATATCTTAATAAAGCAAGGTCAAAGGAATTTAGGTTAATTAAAGTCATCGTGTTTATATATAGATCTATACTGTACCGAATTAAGTGCCCCCCGGGCTTTGAATGATCCAGTTTTCTGCAAGTTTTCTGCTTTGAAGAACAGTTTTCTCCCGGTAATGCTGTTAGCTGTAGAACTTGTGAAAACAGGCGTCTTGTGTATACATTTCGCTATTCGCTGATGAGCTCTTAAAATATCAGAAAGTTTAACAGGTATTTCAGTTGCCATTCTCGCACCTGCATGGGATATTAGAGTGGCCTCCCTTGACTCGAAGGAAGTGACGTCATGTAAACAACATGGCGTTTTCCGAGGGAACATTCCAAATATGTGCTAGATTTTCAGTGGTTTTCTGATAAGTACCTTATATTCATGTCAATTTCAATCTGGTTGGTCCCTCCTGGTATGTTGAATTACAAATTAATAATCTTTTGAATGACATGTCTAGATTGTTGTCATTTGCAGAGCTGAGTTTGTGAAAGATTATCGAATATCTTCACCCTATCGTCATTTGTGAATTTGATAATAGCATCAACTGTGTCTGCGTAAGCCTACCGGTATATGTTTTATGTAACAGTATACCGTTGATCACACATTGCCATTTCTCGTGTTACTTATTATGAACTTATATCATGTCACAAAGGAATCTGACATGGTTGGTTTTAATGTATCATGTTTAGGATACAAGTAATTCTTTCAACTGTTCAAACATTTTGCGATCACACAGACATTGTAAATACTCAGATAAAGTTGTCTTTTATAAGTGAGTGAGATGTACAATGCCTGTGTAACACAACCCCCGTTATAGCTGCAGTACTCGTGATAAATATGTCCGATTGAAACGTAGGATGTCTGAAAACATATGATCCGACGTTATAATAATATTATTTTTACCTCTGTTAATCTTTGGTCTTCTAGAATTCAGTAACAGAAAGTGCACATACACTATGTCCACTACACAATGTTTGATGAATTAAATTTTTTCCATCGTCACATCAATGTCAGAGACAATGATTTTATTCAGAAAGTTCATATAAATTAAAATGCAATTCTATCATCTTAAAAGTATGGATCACAAAATGTAATACATCTCAAAATTACTGTTGTTCTGGTGATTTGCGAGAAAACTAGGAATGTCTTAAGCGTCCGAAAACCCATAACACAGGAATATAGGACCTATATTCAGCATTATAGCTCTCTATCATTATCAGTCTATTTATAATCAGACTTTTTATTCCAATGCATATACATAACTTCTCCTATGGAGGTGTCCTCAGATTTTCACACATTAAAGGGACAGGACGTCGACCGCTCTGAAGCTTTGTTTGTAAACAATAGCCGATAACTCCCGAGCTTATTTTTGCTCTGCTAGCCTTATTCCGTTTCTGCTCCAGTGACAACACTGCGGGTGTTGGCTTACACGGGACCAGACTTTCCTCTTGTTTGAAAACAAACACACTTATTCTGAGATACTGTAAACAGGGATTTTTTTGCGACCGTTTTATTATTGCGAGTTTTGCGAACGAGACTCAATCGCAAAAATTAAAAACGTAAAAATTAAAAACGCAAAAATAAGTATAAATAATACTTTATTTCTTTATTTATTGCAACACGTCATCAAATGTTGAAATCATCAACCAGAACCACAAGTTACTCAATAAGTTAAAAACACAAATGAATGCAGAATGGTCACACAATACATCACAAATGACAGTGTAAACAGAGCAATTAGTGTCTTCTTATATAGTTTGCATTCAAACTCACAGTCATGGCACTGAGTTGAGTCAATTATCGTATTTGATAATTGGTCGCAATCCCTTCCGGTCAACTTTCCGGCCAACTCAGATTAACTAGCTTCGGAGAGAAGCTGTCTATTGTTTGGTAATCGAGGGGTCATCTCAACACGGCAACTCGCAAAAATATCTCATCGCAGTATTGTCTTTAGTGTGGTATTTGCAATATTTTAACGGAGCAGAAATAAAGCTGTTTACAGTAATAACAGACAGGCCTAATTCAAGCCTTTCGGTGTGCTTTACATATTGTTTTGCATAATTATATGGATATAGTACTACAACTGCGACAATGAGGTGCATGACAACACATCCAAGTGACTGCATATCACAAGCTCTTGGTACGGCTTCGATGACCGGATGGGGATAAATACACAAATGGAAATAGTTTTTCATGTTTTAGGATATTTTCTCAATGAAAGCTAAACATTTCATGACATATGTTTATCTAAATGTTTAGACTTATCCAAAATGAAACAGATGAAATACACATGAATGGACTGGTAATATGTCACGATGTGACAGAGGTATTCGGCTGGTCGCAAGGAACTCTGGGTAGGAAAGTGATTAATTGGCTTCAATACAACCGAGGCATATTTATATTGTTATCTAGGCTTTGATATACACTGGCTTCTAATCTAATCAAGCTGGCTGTTAGTATTTTGTAACTCATCAATGAGTAAAACACACAAGCTTACTTTTCAATTTGCATCTGTGAAAAGAAGAAAACATGTTATAAAATGCTACTTGTTACACTGCCTGGCACTCAGCAGTAAAAGGATAAAACAAGGACTGGTTGGCTCGGAGTCAGTATACTGTGTCTGAGTTGGGTATTCATGTAAAACTGTAGTATGTCAGTCAGTAGGCTGGCAGTATATAACGGTCATTAGTTTGGAGGGAGTGAGTGAGTATGGTTTTACGCCGCTTTTAGCAATATTCCAGCAATATCATGGTGGGGACACCAGAAATGAGCTTTACACATTGTACCCATGTCGGGAATCGAACCCGAGTCTTTGGCGTGACGAGCGAACGCTTTAACTACTAGGCTACCCGACCGCCCCCATTAGTTTGGACTAGTACAAGCAGACAGATATGTTGCTATGTATGTGCAATAATCTTGAACGCAACTCTAAACCCCATTTCAACTCACTTCACCTTAGTTTCTAACATTAGCAATTTTATGTGCCTAATTGTCAAGCCATAATTAAATTGTCGTACAGTTGACAGTTACCGTATTCGACGTAATAAGCACCTAGGGCGCTCCCAAATTAGAAAAATGGGGCTCTTATTAGAATATTATTTTGGTGAGAAAAACAGAGTTGAAAGATAAATTTCGTGGTTTATGCTGATAGCCTGAAATGTTTATATACGACATATATATTTTTCCAGAATTTAATTGTCCATAATTAAGGGTGCACGAGTGCGTATTATTAATTATTATTATTAATAAATAAGTCTTGTGTACATTGATCAGTGTGCTAATTGGGGTGCTAATTGGGATTGTTCACTAGCCAATATATTAGCAAATATCGCTGTTTGCGCTTATTAGATAGGAGTGCTTATTACATCGAATATGGTATGTTTTAAGAAGCATGATGCAGTTCTGCATTCTGATCTTATGTCACTATGGTCAATATGTTTATTTACAGATTGTAATCCCTAACCATGGCTTACTTGTTGGGAAGCAAGGCCTGTATGGAAAGTCTTCGAAATGATGTTCAAGACTTGCAATGGGCAATTAATGATGTCTTTTCACGGACTGGACCAGTCTCCTCTCCATCATGGAAATTCCCCGACAAAAAGTCATGGGATCTTGACATTGATGAATTACTTGAAATGTACGACTATTCTGAAGATGAAGAAGAGAGGCAGGTGGCACACATTGCACTGTATGAACTAGTGATTGACAGGTAGGTTCATGTATGCTTGTGATCATAATACTAAGTAATGATGGCACCTGATACACTTTACAGTTATACTCAGAGCTCCAGATAAGCTGTGTATCTGCATGAAATACGCATCAGAAACGCAGAAATACACAGTAAAATATAATCCAAGCGTATCAAATACGCAACGAACATTACAGATACGCTACAAAAATAAAACTTGTGCGTATCATCAAAATATTGTGAAGTAACCCTGCGTATTCGATTAGCAAATCGGCAACTTATTTTGAAATTATAAAGGTGCATTCCGTCAACCTTGCCAAACTCCACGATGACAGTTACATCATGATCATTTGCCATCACACTTTCTTGTGGAAGTATCGTGGTATTTTTGAGTCCTATAAAGCACTCGAACCCACACGACACCAGTTTGCAGGGACTAGATGAATAGTGTTTTTAAATATTTAACTTAAATACCCACATGTGTAAAAACCAGTGGGTAACAGAAATTTGAATACGCAGGTAGAATTACTGATACCCATTGATTTTAAAATGCATGGGTAAAATACCCACAAAACCAAAAGCTTATCTGGAGCTGTGTATACTATTGGCTGCTGTTTTCACAGATAATTCATGTAAATAAAAGTTTCCTTAACAGGCTTAAATAATTTACATGAATTTGTATAAAGAAGAAAAGTTCTGTTGATGAATGATGTATATAAGTCCATACTCTAGCTCTTGTTGTTAATTAAATATCAACTTCTAAAAGTCACTCAACATGCTCAAAGAAAGAAATATAAAAAATGTCAGTTCATTTTCCTTTTGTTGACACACTCACTCATCAGTTAAGACCCAGTCTGTGCTAAAATCTTTAAGTCACTAGCCTGAACTTGTATTTTGGTATTGTTTCCTGTATTTCCAATTTCATACAGTAAAGCTCCAGATACTTTTTCAACCTTATAAGAACAGTACTGGTCATCAGAACTGATGACTACCAGACATATCTTTTAAAACCTATTATTTTTGTAGAACTCATATGTAGAATTTATGGTGCTGGTATGATATTGTGCCGCTGTCATTCAAAGACCTTGTGGTGTACATTCGGTTTTTGGTGCCAAACTAATGTCAACCTGACAGACGAGTTTGAGTACATTATTATTTGCCAATCAGAATGCAGGATTGGGAGGTATTCCATTTGCTGCTGACACAAAATGACAATCCTGTTTAAGTGTAAGTTAATGCCCAATATGACAGAAGTTTAATTATGGTTTTGAGAATAAATAGCCAAGGTACGGTAACAGTTAATCTTAAGAGTGTATAGTATTGTTTTCCCGTGTATTTGACACTGTTGTAATTTGCAATCAGCCCATATTCGACTAGTTTTCGTCCATACAATAAGCCGATACAGCATCATGTAAATAAACACCACATTTAGTTTAATGTTAGCTGAATAGCAGATGAGAAGAAACTTTACGTGAGTCAGATTTAAACTAATGACTAAAGTTACATACAGCAAAGATTAACAATTTGTGCACCCTGCTGTGATATTGCTGGAATATTGCTAAAGGCGGCAGAAAACAATACTCACTCACCCACCCACCCACCCACTCACTCACTCACGCACGCACGCACGCACTCACTCACTCACTCACTCACTCACTCACTCACTCACTCACTCACTCACTCACTCACTCACTCACTCACTCACTCTGCTGGTTGACCTGTAAAAAAAGTTAAACCTTCTCACATGCTCTAGAAGAAGAAGCATACATGTGATGGAAAACAGGATTAATGTCTGTTTTATGGACTATGAATCTGTTGTAAGCCATCATATCCCTATACCACGTTGTTGCTGTATGTTTATTCTGTCTACAACTAGGATGGTGTTGTTGATGCAGTCCATGGGCAAATACACCGAGCAGCTGATGGCCAGTGTCAAGACAGGGGGAGACAACTCCTCCACCTCTAGTAGCTCTGTTGGCCTGGTTGTGAAGAAGTACTGGAATAGACTGATACAGCTTCACACAGTTGTACAGCAGACACAATCCGAGGTACTTGCTGGTGTGTCACACAGATGGGAAACTGCTCTCACTATTATAAATGTTAGAGGGGCGGTCGGGTAGCCTAGTGGTTAAAGCGTTCGCTCGTCACGCCGAAGACCCGGGTTCGATTCCCGACATGGGTACAATGTGTGAAGCCCATTTCTGGTGTCCCCCGCCGTGATATTGCTGGAATATTGCTAAAAGCGGCGTAAAACCATACTCACTCACTCACTATAAATGTTAGACTGCATCTGCCGATGTTTTGAGAACAAGTGTCTATTCTAACCTTTGTTGTTTTCCACCATAAAAATCATATGATGGGGGCATGGTTGGCCCAGTCGTCTAAGGTGCCACAATTCGCTGTGCAGAGTTGCGTCCCTTATGCACACCAGAAACCTATGATTGCTGGTTCGAATCCCGGTTCGCCCCGATTATGTTTCTAAGTTTGTCAGCACCATACCCGTGCTCGTGGATTTCTCCGAAGTGTTAAATGTCTGAGACCTGCATCACTTTGGGCTTTCCTCCTACATTAAACTGACACGCTGCAATATAACTGGAATACTGTTAAAAGCGGTATTAAAAACCTAACTCACTCAAACCCAACTAAAGGCCTAAGACAGATTTGTGTCTCGAAGCCATACCAGTCAAAGGCTTGGTAATGTTTACCAATGTTGACTGCCTCCAGTGGATAGAACTACTGCCGAAGAGCTTTGTTTAAGTATTAGGAAAATGCCTCATGAAAATGTCTATAATCATGATAATCCTATTAATTGGAAATGTAAGGGGTCTCTCGTTTCAAATACTGTGGGTGTCAACCCAAACATATTTGAGGATGATAGGATTCCCATTATGCAGAAAGCTGATAAGGATATTTTAAAATCGTTTTCACGTCATAAATTATGAAGATCTATAGTTCTACATAGTCACTTTTATTTAAACAATCTTATTGTTATTTTTCCCCAAACGCAAGCGCATGTGTATCTTCTTTTGCAATGAGAAGGCAGTGATCAAGGACAGATAACTCCAGTTGGTAACCATAGGCAACAGAAAATCAAAAATAGAAGAGACAAGTTTGGGGCTCTGTGTTACATAGAAGAAGGAAATTTGCAATGTGTTGTGTCATGATAAGTGAACTGATGTCATGAATATCTAAATTCATGTAATTTTATGTAATACTCAGAATATTTTTTCAGAATAAATCAAAAAGTCGAAAATTTTCTGATTTGGAGAACACAGTCAGTAAACTAACCGATGAGTTAGGTCAGCTCCACAATGGAAATGGGACATCTTACCAGAGAGGACTCACTCCTCCGAAGACACTAGGATTTGGGGGACTAATCCCCCCGAACAACGCAGAGCTCGGTGTCACGAGAGGGGAGTCTGTGACCTCAAGCGAGGGGGAGATTTCCAAGGATGCTTGTAATAAATCATCGCAAACAATTGAGACGGTATTTGTACCTTGTGAATCATGCCATGCAGTTCAGAAGTGTTTCCGGGAAGCTGGCGAGGTCGTCATCAATACGTGTCAGTCTCAAAATATGCCGTCGTCATTAAAGAAATTTCGTGGTCAAGTGGTGGATGTTGAATGGTTGAGTTCCAATGACGTGAAACGATGGACAGCGGAGCAGAACAAAGACATTGCCCGCATAAGTAAACACGTCGAACAGCTTGCTGCAACAATTGGTCCACTGCAAGAAGATGTGGCAGGGTATTTAAAAGAAAAGAGAAAAATGACCGAAAAAGTGTCTAAGGCAGAAAAGGATTTGAAGGTGGAGCGTGAGACACAGTCTGCAGTTCGGCACCAGTTTGAGGTGAAGGTCACAGAGTTGGAGAGGCAGCATGCGGAGATGCTGAATCATGTGACCCAGGAGAAGGAGGAGCTGAAGCAGTCTCGGTCAGCGCTGGAGGCGATGTTGGCGCAGCTGAAGGAGGAGCTGAGAGAGCAGCAACAGCAGTTGCAACAGCTGGGTGAGGATTGAAACTGTTGCTGTCTGATATATAGATCGGGACTTGGGTTCCTAGTGATCTAAGACATTGTATCTCACTGTGAAGAGTTACATCCCTTGGCCATGCCAGGATCTGTAGTGGGTTAAAATCCCTTTCACAACTGTATTGTGTGTTCAGTCTGCCTGTCACCTGTGAAGATCCGGGTTAGAAAAGGTCTTCAGCATCCCATGCTTGTCGTGAAAGGAGACTATGCTTGTCATAAGAGGCGACCAATCAGATCAGGTGGTGAGGCTCGCTGACTTGGTTGATGTATATCATCATATGCCAGTTATAAGATGCTCATGATATCAGTCAATGGATTGTCTGGTCCAGACTTAATTATTTAAAGACTGCCGTTATATAGCTGGAATATTGCTGTGCGTGGCGTTATACAACAAACAAATCAGTCTGCCTGTGCCTGTCTGATATAGTGTCATATCTTAATACAGAAAAATACGGAAAACGAGAGTTTTGACCAGCACTATGCACATTCATACACATTCATTCAAATATAGATACACATTCAAGCCAGATTAATTGGTTTGATACGGTTACTTGATCTGAATCTAAAGGAATGACCGCCGTGTTGTGACAGCAATGACATGTGAGTTGACAGTGTCGCCTCAAATTGGAATTGCCCATTAATTAAAATTATAAACTTCACTTGTGGTTCTCTTTTATTGCATGCATGTGCTTCTAAGATCAAAGGATGTATAGTGTGAAAAGTTAACTAGTAGAACAATCGTTTTTGCGGGACTTGCCGCGGATGTTTTCAAACAGATTATTAGAACTCCATTCAGCAATAAACGGTTGATTATGCAATGAGAAGCGTTATGTGCAAATGAACAACGCACAACAATACAATCATGTCTGTGTAAAACTCTCAGTATTAAAAGTGTACATAAATTTTGGGAGCCATGCCTTACCATGCGTAGTAACCGAGGTAGCGCTTTATCGAAGAGCACAATAGCGAGGGATCACTGTAGTTAGACTAACATTTAGTCCCAGAAATAAAGTTATTTTATTTAAGAAGTATATATAATATGCAAACCAAATGAAGCCCAGAACAATGCTTGATTGTTAAGGCGATCTAGACTTGCTAAATCATTCTAGACTTGAGTTGGTAAATTTATTCTGTGGGTCTGTGAGACAGACTACTTAATAGTAAACATGAATGAATACCTATACTTACTATAGACAGTTGGGCTTCCTGCTCCAAATCCATCAGATAAGATACAGATGTTGCTGACTGGATAGATTCCATCATCATCTCCATTGTCTTTAGTTCTTCTGTGGGACTAAAAATAATAAAGTCCTCATTGTTTCTTAGGCCAAACTTTTAACTTGTGCTCTTGGATCAGATGGTGTCATTGTTCTTTTCTGTTTATTTACTCATTCCAGTTGTATGATGGCGGTCTGTAAATAATTGAGTTGGGACCAAACAATCCAGTGATTGACATCTTGAGCATCGATCCAGACAATTGGGATATGATGACATGCATCAACCAAGTCAGAGAGCCTGATCACCTGATTCTATTAGTTGCTCTTGCAACAAGCATAGTCGCCTTTTACGACAAACATAGTCACCTTTAACGACAAGCATAGTCGCCTTTTACGACAAGCATAGTCGCCTTTTACGACAAGAATAGTCGCCTTTTACGACAAGCATAGTCACCTTTTACGGCAAGCATAGTCGCCTTTTACGACAAGCATAGTCACCTTTTACGACAAGCATAGTCGCCTTTTACGACAAGCATGGTTGCCTTTTACGACAAGAATAGTCGCCTTTTACGACAAGCATAGTCGCCTTTTACGACAAGCATTTTCTTTTGTGTGAAATAGAGGTCAGCAGTGCTTCTCCAACTCTCTTAGTTCCTATGTTTCTTTCTTTAAGATTCTGTTTGAGGACCACCTCTGTGGTTTAGTGGTAGAGCGTCCGCCCGGAGAGCGGAATGTCTGGGGTTCGATTCCCGGCCGCGTCATACCAAAAGACGTTAAAAGGTGGTACTTGTTGTTACCCTGTCTGGCGCTCGGCATTAAGGGGCTAAAGCAAGGACTGGTCGGCTCAGAGTCAGTATACTGTGTCTGAGTGGGGTATTCATGTTAAACTGCGGCATGTTATCTCAGTGAGCTAGCACTATAAATCGGCATCAGTCCAGACTAGTACAAGCAGCCACACACACATGTACATGCACGTCGCTATATAAGTGCAATAATCTTGGACGCGACGTTAAACCCCATTTCACCTCACCTAAGATTCTGTTTGACTGATGTTCTTTACTGATCATACTGATTCAGAAAATACAAAACAAGACCTTCAAAGTGAGGTAGATCAAAACAAGGCGACATCCAGGGAAGTAACCTCACTAGAGTCAGAGGTCGGCACCTTGAGGACACAGCTGTCGGACATCAATGAGAAACTGGAGAAGACCCACCAGGACCTCGGCAAGGAACAAGCCAAGAACAGGAGTGTGGCTAAACATGGCCAGGTAATGGGAGTTATGTTTGTTTGTTTGTTTGTTGTTTAAAGCCGCACTCAGCAATATTCCAGCTATATGACGGCGGTCTGTAAATAATCGAGTCTGGACCAGACAATCCAGTGATTGACATCATGAGCATCAATCCAAGCAATTGGGATACGATGACATGCATCAACCAAGTCAGCAAGCCTTACCACCCGATCCCGTTAGTCGCCTCTTACGACAAGCATAGTCGCCTTTTACGACAAGCATGGGTTGCTGAAGACCTATTCTAACCTGGATCTTCACTGGAGTTATGTACATAATTGTCATAAACCACTGGTAACTATAAGTATGCCATGTTAGGTAATTCTTCAATGTTGTCTAAAAGTCTATCTTTCCCAGTCCCTTCAGAGCACCCTGCTGCAGAGAGTGGTCACCTGCAATGTGATTGATGCTCCTGTTGTCTACAAGTCTATCTGTCCCCAGTCCCTTCAGGGCAAGCAGGACTCCCTGCTATAGTGTTACCTGCAATGTGATTGATGTTCCTGTTGTCTACAAGTCTATCTGTCCCCAGTCCCTTCAGGGCAAGCAGGACGCCCTGCTACAGAGAGTGGTCACCTGCAATGTTATTGATGCTCCTGTTGTCTACAAGTCTATATGTCCCCAGTCCCTTCAGGGCAAGCAGTATGCCCTGCTACAGAGTGTCACCTGCAATGTTATTGATGCTCCTGTTGTCTACAAGTCTATATGTCCCCAGTCCCTTCAGGGCAAGCAGTATGCCCTGCTACAGAGTGTCACCTGCAATGTGATTGATGCTCCTGTTGTCTACAAGTCTCTCTGTCCCCAGTCCCTTCAGGGCAAGCAGGCAACCTGCTACAGAGAGTGGTCACCTGCAATGTTATTGATGCTCCTGTTGTCTACAAGTCTATATGTCCCAGTCCCTTCAGGGCAAGCAGGATGCCCTGCTGCAGAGAGTGTCACCTGCAATGTTATTGATGCTCCTGTTGTCTACAAGTCTATATGTCCCAGTCCCTTCAGGGCAAGCAGGATGCCCTGCTGCAGAGAGTGTCACCTGCAATGTTATTGATGCTCCTGTTGTATGAAAGTCTCTCTGTCCCCAGTCCCTTCAGGGCAAGCAAGACGCCCTGCTGCAGAGAGTGTCACCTGCAATGTTATTGATGCTCCTGTTGTCTACAAGTCTCTCTGTCCCCAGTCCCTTCAGGGCAAGCAAGACGCCCTGCTGCAGAGAGTGTCACCTGCAATGTTATTGATGCTCCTGTTGTCTACAAGTCTCTCTGTCCCCAGTCCCTTCAGGGCAAGCAAGACGCCCTGCTGCAGAGAGTGGGTGACCTGGACCAGGAGAACCAGGACCTGAGGGACCAGGCGTCGCTGCTGGAGGAAGAGAAGGAAGCCATTGAGGAGTCACTCACGGTTGCCAAGACAGAAGCTCAACAACTGGAACACAAGATCAAGGAGAAAGAGGTGGGCTTCTGTCACTGGCAGTATCATCTGATAATATCAAACATGTCAGAGGTCATGAATGTTGAGATAGAAAAGTTGAATTTAGATTTTACTAATTTGAACATACATCATGTCTGTACACTGTACACTGTACACTAGAGGGTATCTAGGGTATCAGTACTGGACATATCCAACTTCTAGGGACTTTGAGGGGCCCAGGTGGCCCAGTTGTCTAAGGCACCAATGACACTGAAACAGTCTGTCTGAATATCAAGACCATAATGTGACATTATAACTGACCGCCTAATCTTGGATGCGATGTTAAACCCAATTTCACCTCACCTCACCTGTCATTATAACTTGTCTGTCGTGTATGTATCCAGGTCGTTATAGAGAGCCTGAACACGGAGAAGACAAGTCTGAAGAAGAGCATAGCTAATACGGAAGGCAGGATAGAGAGACTGGAGAAGTCCCTGGAGGAAGCCAGGGAGAGAGAGAGGATGATAATAGAGTACCCTGACCTCAATGGCCCAGTCAACCCAGACTATCAGGGTAGGTTACCATGGTTACAGGGTTGTCAGTTGCTTATCAGCTTGAACTTATTGAAGTTTCTGGTCAACCCAGACTATCAGGGTAGGTTACCATAGTTACATATTATGTTGTCGGTTGATTAACCGAGTGTTATTGTGATGATCGAGCTAGAACCATTTGCAATGTGCAACTACTGATAGATCGAGGGTTCGACACACCTGACCATTTTCGCGACTTTCAATTTGATTTATCGTAGAAGGTTAGGCGTGATGAAATGAAGTCACTTTAAACTGTCTGGACAGATATGTAGACTTATGTTGGATGCTCCGGTTGTGTCATCAATATCCCCCCCCCCCCCCCTTCAAAGCATTTTTTGTGACATTGCTTCCGAAGGTGTTTGTTCATGAATGAGCATATACGACTGCATGACCAGATCACTCAAAGTGAACAGTTCAGATACAAATCATTCGAAAACTCTGTGGAAGTGTGCCTGACTTCTGTTTTTGTGGTCAAAAATATCTTAGATGTGAACAATAACATTACCTATTGATCTCTTGCGTAAAACGCTGTGAGTACATCACGGTTGTCTTTTCTCAATCTGATGGTGACCTTGCCCTTTGTTCGAAGCTGTTGCTGACATGCAAGCAGACTTGGGTTTGTTGATTTTCACATCTTCAGTATAGGGTGGTACAGTTAACATAAACGTCTTTGCCGCGCACTCTGATTTCCCTCTTCCAAAATGGTACGGACAGGATATAAATTCATCTGATAGATCAAGGAAACTGAAACAATTTGATTGCACAGCCGGGACCCTGTGATATCATGACGGACATGTTGCAGGTACAGGTGATATCGTGACGGACATGTTGCAGGTACAGGTGATATCGTGACAGACATTTTGCAGGTACAGGTGATAACGTGACAGACATGTTGCAGTTACAGGTGATATCGTGACTGACATGTTGCAGGTACAGGTGATATCATGACGGACATGTTGGCTAGTACAGGTGATATGACGGACATGTTGCAGGTACAGGTGATATCGTGACGGACATGTTGGCTAGTACAGGTGATATCATGACGGACATGTTGCAGGTACAGGTGATATCGTGACGGACATGTTGCAGGTACAGGTGATATCATGACGGACATGTTGGCTAGTACAGGTGATATCATGACGGACATGTTGGCTAGTACAGGTGATATGACGGACATGTTGCAGGTACAGGTGATATCGTGACAGACATTTTGCAGGTACAGGTGATAACGTGACAGACATGTTGCAGGTACAGGTGATATCGTGACTGACATGTTGCAGGTACAGGTGATATCATGACGGACATGTTGGCTAGTACAGGTGATATTACGGACATGTTGCAGGTACAGGTGATATCGTGACGGACATGTTGGCTAGTACAGGTGATATCATGACGGACATGTTGCAGGTACAGGTGATATCGTGACGGACATGTTGGTTAGTACAGGTGATATCATGACGGACATGTTGGCTAGTACAGGTGATATCATGACGGACATGTTGGCTAGTACAGGTGATATGACGGACATGTTGCAGGTACAGGTGATATCGTGACGGACATGTTGGCTAGTACAGGTGATATCATGACGGACATGTTGCAGGTACAGGTGATATCGTGACGGACATGTTGCAGGTACAGGTGATATCATGACGGACATGTTGGCTAGTACAGGTGATATCATGACGGACATGTTGGTTAGTACAGGTGATATGACGAACATGTTGCAGGTACAGGTGATATCGTGACAGACATGCAGAACCAAGTGAAGGCCAACTCAGTGAGGATCCAGGTGCTGGAAGACCAGAACGAGGGACTCCGGAACTCCATCACTAAAGTCCTCACCATGACACAGGGCAGGGAGCCTCCAGCTAAACACCAGCAGGTAGGACCCACTAGAACATCCCCATCACGGGGGGACCAGACCAGGGATCTCTAGATGTCTCACTCCACACTGTTCAACAGATAGCAGGGAGATTTATTTTGTGGTCATTAACATTTGATGTATTTGCTCATCATTTATTAGGGGGCACGGGTGGCCCAGTCGTCTAAGGCGCTGTGATTCGCTGTGCAGAGTTGCGTCCCTTGGACACGCCAGAAACCTATGAATGTGGGTTTGAATCCTGGTTCGCCCCGATTATGTTTCTAGGTTTGTCAGCACCATACCCGTACTCGTGGGTTTCACCGAAGTGGTAAATGTCTGAGACCTGCATCAGTTCGGGCTTTCCTCCCACATTAAGCTGACACGCCGTGATATAACTGGAATACTGTTAAAAGCGGCCTTAAACCCAACTCACTCACTCATCATTTCTTGATGCGTTATTGTGATGTGATATTATATGTTGTAGCAGGATCACTCGGGGAACATGGGGTTATATGCATCCTGCATTAGGTTTTATACCACGACCTGGAGGCAATAAATTTATCTTACCGACATGTAATATGACATTGTAAAAGAATTCAAACAAATTCAAAATTGATATAAAACAGCTGTTTGATTGAGCTGAGGTTAGCTTGCTCTATGTCACGTGACTTCATTGACTCAGGAAAAAGCATGCAGCTCTTTACTTTGAATTTGGGTATAAGTGATTTATTCTCAGAAATCCATGTGCAGCCTGACTCGCAAGTGGGGATGTATAAGAGATTTCTTCCCCGGCTGAGAAACTTATTACTTTCCAAGGCAGGACACTAAGTATATTATCAAGAGCACGGTGACCAATCAGATCTCATCATTCTGACATGGAGGTATAATAATGCTGGATAGTCCTTGTTAGTTGAACTACAGTAGAAAATGCAAGCAACCAGTTCTCAAATATATTATTATTATTATTACCGGTATCATCATCATCATCATCATCACCACCACCACCACCAACAACAACAACATCATCATCATCATCATCATCATCATTATTATTATCAGGTAGAAATTGTTGTAGCCTTCTAGCTATTTAAGAGAAAGAGAGAATGTCTTTTTCTGACTTGGCTGTGTAAATGTAGGCATCAGTATTAGTCACAGTGAATAACATTGTAGTGAACTGAGATTGTGGCTGTTGTACTGTCAGATGTCTGGGCCTGCTCCGCTGTGGAAGACGGAATCCCCGAGTCAGTACAGAGAAGACGTGTCCCACGCGGACAACGCCAGGTGAGAGGCAGTCAAGGCAGTGACTGTTGTAAAGGGTCCGACCATTTGATATTCTGGAGGGGGGAATTTGTATTGACACCAGATATTTTTTCAACTACATGTGCAAAACCAGATATATATTTTAAAAACACTCATGGGTTGTATACTCCCCAGGGAGTTGAGAATGATAACTGGAATTCAGTAAAAGGATATTCAGTCCGATGATATTCAGTCCGATGACATTCACTCTGATGACATTCACTCTGATGACATTCACTCCTATGACATTCAGTCCGATGATATTCAGTCCAATGATATTCACTCCGATGACATTCACTCCTATGACATTCACTCCAATGAATTTAAGTCCAATGACATTCATTCCTATGACATTCACTCCGATGACATTCACTCCGATGACATTCACTCCGATGACATTCAGTCCGATGACATTCACTCCTATGACATTCAGTCCGATGACATTCAGTCAGCCAGGTTACACGTTGTGACCATAATGGCTGATGCACATCGGCAGAATTTCTGTCGCTTTTATTTGGTGTATCTATTCCAGCTGATATTTTGGAAAAGATACCTGGCTAGTATTTATCACTCTTATGCCAACCAGAAATTCTCTGAAAGAAGCATTCTTACCTTAAAGGCTATATTAACTCCAAAACAATGTATGTGACAAAGCACAACAGGTCTCCAACCTAACTGGTTGTCAAAGGCAACAGGCTCAGGTGGTCAGACTGGGTGCCTTGGTTGTTGGTATGTTAAATACACACCCAATGGTGTGGATCGCTGCTCATTTTATCAATCACTGGTTTGTCTGGTCCAGAGATGATTATTTACAACCAACACACAGTCTGGTCACCTACTCCATTACCCCAGTGGACCAGCATTACTTTCAAAGTGCTGATTAATCTAAAACCTGTTGGTTGTAATCCTAGCTTTCCATCTACAACCTGCTTTCCTCCAAAATAATTTTTTTCTTTGTTTGTTGTTTAATGCCGCACCCAGCAGTACTCCCGCTATGTGATGGCAGTCTGTAAATAATCAAGTCTGGACCACACAATCCAGTGATTAACATCATCCACATTGATCTAAGCAAGTGGGAATCGATGACATGCATGAACCAAGTCAGCTAGACTGACCATCCAACTCCATTAGTCGCCTCTAAGAAAAACATGGGTTGCTGAAGAGCAGTTCTAACCCAGATCTTCACAGGAATCGGCCAAATTATAAGCAACTGATGTATTCAAGTTGAAGGTTGCTTTGACCTAACCTACTCATTCCCTTTGTCTGTAAAAGATGGCAAATAAATCTCTCATTCCACGCCCTCCTCTAGAGTTTTCCTCAATCAGACCATACTCTCTGATGCCTCGTTTCTCACGGCATGCTGCTAAATCATTCGGACACTCACTCACCAAATAGTGCTAAAATGATTTCATTCCTATACATCTTCACATTTTGTTAGAGATTTCTGTAGACATTAATGTTTACATGTATATTTTCATAATAAAAAAATTTGACATACTAATTTTGAAGCATTTAAATAAATATATTAATACCTGTTTTGAGAGGCTGTCCAAAAAATAGAAATGGATGTGAAAATTACATTTATCATTTTTTTTCTCAAAGTCATCAGTTAACATGGTTAGTAATGTGTATCTCTCATTTCATACTTTCAGATATTATCAAGAGAATCAGAACAATAACAGTTCCACCAAATCTGTGACTCCTGAAAAAACTCCACCCAAGACTGCAATCATACCCAAAGAACAGACGTTCGTCTTTGACCACAACAAGACTAAAACAGAAGGAGAGTTTCTGGTGACAAAGTCATCTCGGCCCAGTAGTGCCAGTAGACAGAAGGATAGCACAAAACAAGGGAGACCACCCAGTGGCAAAGGTAACCCAGGCAGAGTTATGGCCCCTGTCAATGCAACCAGCATCAGTGCATACATCCAGATGAAGAAGAGTGGGTACCAAAGCAACCAAGGCGTTGGGGGTAAGGAGGATGGATTTGGTGGTGTGTTTGGGGTAATTGTTTGCCAACAGGACTTGTTCTGTCATCGTGTTTTTCTATAAAAGAAATATGAGTATGAAATGAAATGCTTCCCTTAGTTTGCCAACCTCCTTTCAGGATGCTGGATGATAAGAGATGATAACATAATGCTTACTTTTTACTGGCCAATCATCACAATCTCATTAAAATCAGATCTTAGTTCTCGCTGAAGCTAAACAAAGATCTGAGGACATCCCATTACGGGTCACGTCTGACCGACCTTTCGCGAACTCTGACCGACCAATGGAATTACTGAGAAGAAGTCGACATTAGCCAATCAGAAAGGCAGTTTTCTTGTGCTTTACGGCATTAATTTCAAATTGGCGACTACGCTTCGAAACATATTTTGACAAATTTTCGCTTAAAAATTTGAAACCTGAACAAAAGAACATTCTCGAATGGCTAATATATGGTCTAGATTGTATAGATTCAGTCGTTGAGCCCGTAACTATCGTTTGGCATACCCCGTGTTAAAGTTTTCGAGATTGCATGATGAGAAATCACATTCCGACTGTCACTTTCATGATCTGGTAAGAGACACTCTGATTGGTTGGATGAAAGGTCGTTCTGACGTGACCCCTCATGGGATGTCCTCAGATCTTTGTTTAGCGGTAGCGAGAACTAAGGTCTGATTTTAATGAGATTGTTAATTGGCACAAACCTTTGCATCCTTGCGGCTTTTAAAAAAAACATTGTTAGTTTGATGCAAGGTTGGGACATCATTGCAATGAATCAATCACATGATATTTAGGGAGTACAAGAAACAAACATGCAATCAGAATATAAAGAAAGTTTTAAAAATCCCATCAGTCACATTCAATTATATGATGATGCATTGAAACTGTTTCCCTTCCTCTTCCCAGCTGCTGTGCGGCCGCCACCTTCTGGCAAAGCTAGAAGCCAATCAGGGACAGATAACTCCGGCTATGTCCGCCCAGACATGTTTGTGTGTGCGGAGTGTGACAAGATGTACAGCAAGCAGAGAGATTTGGAAATACACAAGAGTTACTGCACTGGGGGCCACTAGCTAACGGGGGTCAGCATTAGTTGTTTTTTTTAATTTTAAGAAAATAGACCTTTTTTTAAATTGCTGCATTGTGAAAGTAGTGCTTTGAGACCCTTTTGAAAATCACTTATGTGATAATTATTTTTTTGCAGGGCTCCATTCAGAATTACAGGACTAACTAGTTTTAGGATTAGTGTTTTTAATTAAAACAAATTAACTCTTTCTTCAACATGTTCGAACAATTGCTTCATTATGAAAATAGTGCTTTGAGACTTTCTTAATCTTATAAAAATCACCTCATGGGTTAATTATATTTACCTGGGCATCATTAAGCATTACACACATAAATATTTAACATGTTTTTTTGTTTTTTTGTTCATTGTAAATATTATACTTACCTGACTACGTTATTCTATTTAGTTATAATGACAAGTAATCCGTTGTTAATTAGAAGGTATGTGTTTTGAATATGATCTCAAGACTGCTACTTATGTATTAGGAGGTATGGAGCACTTCTCAATATTGTCCTTCACCCTGTTCATTAACACTGCCCTCCACAGAAGTCTTAGAGTTGAGTTGTCTTAGCCAGATAACACGGACATTCCTTCTAGGTGCTACACTGGAACACAGGTCTGTTGATGTTTGTTGCTTGGAATGTTTTTTTGTGACTGAAAGTAGTTTAATTTAATGATATTTTTATGTGTTGATAGTCTATGACCTAGTTTGCATACAGAGAATCTCTTACTCGTCGTAAAAAGTATAAACTACTCGCCAAGCCTGAGAGGTTTGAATATTTATCGACTCATGTTGATATATTTTATATCAAACAATCTCATGAAAATCAAAACTTAGTTCTCACTACTGTTCAATAAAGATCTGAGGACATCCCATTGCATGTCAGGTCAGAATGACCTTTCATCTGACCTGTCAAAACATCGCTCACCAGATTAGGAAAGTGACAGTCGGAATGTGGTTTCTAATCATACAACCTCTAAAAGTTTAACATGGCATATTCCAAACAACTACGGGCTTCACAATTGAATCCGTCAAAAACATTGTCTGTCAGTGTAGTCTCCATTTCGAAACTAGTGCCGTATAGCTCGAGAAAGCTGCTTTCTGATTGGCTTATGTGAACTTCTTGTGAGTCTTTTCATTGGTCAGTCAAAGTTTGCGAAAGGTCGTTCTGACAACCCATAATGGGATGTCCTCAAATCTTTGTTTAGAGGTAACGAGAGCTAAGATCTGATTTTAATGAGACTGTATATCAAAAGACATGAAGGTGAGATTCTATTTATCCTCTAAAATCATTCTTGTTCAGTTTCTAACAGTAATAACCAGTGTCTTGAGTGTAAATAGTACAGCTAACCAGCTTCAGTGGCAGAGCGATTATTGATATCATTTGGTTGTGATGTCATGGTAACCGATGATGTCACAATGGTCTGTAACACATTGTGATGCAGTTTCATTGTAGTGATACCTCCTAGGATCTGTACTGATCTCACCCATACATATCTCCTGTGGAAGCCGGTTTAGGATGTTATATTCTAATTTACAGTTTACTCTATCACTGATAGCGATATCCTGTAATATAGTTCTCACACTGGTTGTGACAGTGTATCTCGGAGCTGCTAATGTTTGTATTACAAGCCTGTATTTGTGAATACCCACACATATCTGCACCTGGGCCCACTTGCACAAAGTGATCTTAGCTCTAAGACGATCGTAAGCCTATGTTAGGGTGTGGGAGTTACGATCATCTTAGCACTAAGATCGCTTTGTGCAAGTTGGCCCTGAAGTCGAGGCTTTGTCAATACTTCACGGGTCTGTATACACAACATTCCTCCATCACCCGCCAATACATTTTGCCTATTTTTGGTGTAGTCGTTATCTTTTACGAACTAATTAAGTGATGACCTGGTTTCAGACATAGGAAAACCAGCGAGTATTTGACTCGATTATTTTCAGACCCCGTCATATAGCTGGCATGTTGGTGAGTGCAGCGTTAAACAACAAACAAACAAACAAACACTGGCCACAGCCTAGTGGACATTTACTCTTCACCTTGATTTAACATCCTGCATCACTTCGGTCTTTCCTCCTACATTATGCTGACATGCCGTGATATGACTGGAATACTGTTAAAGCAGCGTTAAACCCAACTCACTCACTCACTCACTCACTCACTCACTCACTCACTCACTCACTCACTCACTCACTCATAAGTCATGTGACAGAATGATGGTCTATAGTACCAGTGGGAAACTGCCTTATTGAATAAACTGTGATATTCCAGGATACAACCTGTCTCTAACATTCCCACAGATGTCACTTTGGATACTTCCAGTGTTTTTACACAAACACCAGGTTTCTCCGTCACCGAGTATTGATGAAGTATTGACGATCCCCCAGTATCGATGAAGTATTGACGATCACCTGTATCAATGAAGTATTGACGATCACCCAGTATCGATGAAGTATTGACGATCACCCAGTATCGATGAAGTATTGACGATCACCCAATATTGATGACGTATTGACGATCACAGATTTATGGCACCCTAGATTTACAAAGAAATCCAGTTAAATACCTTATAATTGTCTTGAAGTGAGCATGGTGTTGTTCAGACAAGGATTTACCAACACAAGAAAGAATGGTATTATTGTGTGAGATGTACGAACACAGCGCTCTCGTACCTGTTAGACATATATTAGTCATATTTTCGTTTTTCTTTGTGTACGACAAATATGCAGTGTGTTGCCATTATTTGAAAATTTGGGAGTCCAACAATCACAGTATCCATACATCACTTGCCGTAAGAGCTGACTAACGGGATCTGGTGGTCAAGCTCGCTGACTTAGTTGATGCATGTCATCATATCCCAATTGCGTGGATCGATGCTCATGATGTCAATCACTGGATTGTCTGGTCCAGACTCGATTATTTACATTCCGCCGTCATGTAGCTGGAATATTTCTGAGTGCGGCGTTAAACAACAAACAACAACATTAAAACCAGATAGTGAGATTGATCTGTCCATGTTTGAAATATTGAACAGAATCCATGTTTCTAAACATTTGATCACAGCATGTATATAATAAATTGTTTTTATTTATTGATAGACCAATCTTTAATGTAGGTGATCTCCGTGTAGTGTTATTTTATGAACCGTCCAATTGTGTCTTATACTATGTGTCTTAAAATTAAGATGTTCACCTAATAGTGTTATTTAGGTGCTTTATTTATTTACCCAAAAGAATAAATATGTACACAAACGTTAAGGTTCGTTTTGTTTTTTCACAGTACTTGTGTATTTTGATGAAAATGACTTCTGACAGATGTCGCATTACAAACCACAGCCATTTTATCTCAGTCTGAGGGAGGGTCTCAAAGGGTACAGAAGCCTTTATTGGAAGTGGAGTACCGGCTTTACCTGAGTAGGCGTGTATGCTTCCAGACACTCTTACAGAACCAGGGCAATCTTAAATGACACATTATCATACCTCCATGTCAGAATGATGAGATCTGATTGGTCCACGTGATCTTGAAAAAATACTTGATCATACCTCCATGTCAGAATGATGTGATCTGATTGGTCCACGTGACCTTGATAAAGTACTGTGTGACCCGCTTTGGACGGTAATACATTTCTCTTATACCCCACCACGAGTAATACAGGTTTCACGTGGATTTCTGAGAGGCAGAATAAATCCCTTTTACCCCCTTCGATGCAAAAAAGCCGCAAGCTTTTTCCGAGTCAATGAAAGACATGTGATATAGCACAAGTTAACACCAGCTAAATCGAACAGCTGTTTTCTATCAATTTTGAATTTGTTTGAATTCTTTTACAATGTCGGATAGATAAATTCGTCGTAGCACGATCACTTGGGATACATGGGGATTTATGCGTCCCTCGTCGGGTTTTATACCACTCGCCTCCAGCTCGTGGAATAAAAAACCTAACGCTAGACGCATAAAACCCAATGTACCCCGCGTGATCCTGCTACAACTTTAAGTAATTCTAACCACAACATCATACAGATACAAGTTTTTTTCACTGGGTGCTGTCAAAACGTGTACAAATATGTTTTGGTCACAAGGACAAAACCTTCGAGCTATCAAACGAAGAGAAAGTTTGGTCCAGTGGATAGAGCATCTACCCGGAGAACGGAAGGTCGGTGGTTCGATGCCCTGGCTGCATCATACCAAAATAAGTTGAAAGATGAAACATGTTACCCTGCCTGGTGTATTAAGGGGATAAAACAAGGACCGATCCACTCGGAGTCCGTATAAATTGTTTAAGTGGTGTATCCACGTTACCCGCGGTAAAAATCTTGAACGCGACTGAAAAAACCTTATTTCACCCATCCCCTGTGAAAAAAACCAACATGCTTTTGATATGCCCCCTCCTGAAGCATATTGATGTCATGAGGCCTATCATGGGCGTGTTCTGGTCTAGGTAGTTCCCTTTCAGTCTTTGAAGTGGGGGATCTTGTCATGCCGCGTCGATGCCAATAGCCCCGAGATGTTGTGATCACTAGGGGGCGCTGCTGGGTCAAAGTCACCTGCACCAAGGTCAAGGTCGTTTTTTTGAAGTTGTAAGATCTCGATAAAACATGTTTTGTGAAAAACGTTAAGGAAAAACAACCTATGAAAGAAAATGTCACATTTGAAGCATGCCTTCCTGAAGAAGTAGGTTACAGTTTATGCTAATTAACCGGGAAGTGCAAGTGTGCTTTTAGAAATATACATTTATAAATTTCTAGTAATTAAACATTAAGAAGGGATACGACCCAAGTGTTATAGATCATAAAATTTTAATAGTTCTATTTTACCTGTAAGTTATCCACTGGAACATTTCTAAATTGCGTTGATGAATACGGTTCGTGGTATGAAACCTAACACGGGACGCATAAAGCCCTTGTACCACTCGTGGTCCTGCTACAACTTAGTATATCTAACCGGGTGGAGGCTAAAACGGAACCTCCGCAAAACGTCACCCATTTCTCGGTCATCTAACCACAACACCATACTGTTAAGACCAGATACAGGTTTATTCACAGGGTGCAGTCCAAACGTGTACTGATGAATACGTGACCTATTTTTACACATCATCCTTCCCCTTTATCCGGGTTACCATTGGTCTTCAGCAACCCGTGCTTGGCGTAAATGGCGACTATGCTTGTCGTAAATGGCAACTATGCTTGTCGTAAATGGCGACTATGCTTGTCGTAAAGGGCGACTAACGGGATCGGGTGGTCAGGGTCGCTGACTTGGTTGATGCTTGTCATCGTATCCCAATTGCGTGGATCGATGCTCCTGATGTCAATCACTGGAGACCAGTGAAGATCCGGGATAGAATAGGTCTTCAGCAAACCATGCTTGCCGTAAATTGCGAATATGCTTGTCGTAAGAGGCAACTAACGGGATCGTGTGGTCAAGCTCGCTGACTTGGTTGATGCATGTCACCGTATCCCAATTGCGTGGATCGATGCTCCTGAAGTTAATCAGTGAGGATCCGGGTAAGAATAGGTCTTCAGCAACCCATGTTTGCCATAAATGGCGACTATGCTGGTCTTCAGCAACCCATGCGTGCGACTAACGGGATCGGGTGGTCAGGCTCACTGACTTGGTTGATGCATTTCATCGTATCCCAACTGCGTGGATCGATGCTCATGATGTCAATCACAGGATTGTTTGGTCCAGACTCGATTATTTACAGACCGCCGTCATATAGCTGGGATATTGCCGAGTCCGGCGTTAAACAACAAACAAATCAGATAATGCTTCCCCTATAACATGTAGATTGAATGGCCACAATGCTTTCCGATAGATGCTAACGCTTGTTGGACGACCCTCCATCGTGGTCTGGGTACATAAGGTTATAATTCCCCCCCCCCCCCCCCCCCCCCCCCACTGCAACCTATGCTGATCGTAAGAAGCTTGGATCGCTGCTGACAACATAAATCACTGGATTGTTTGGTCTAGACTTGATTATTTACGGACCGCCATCAAATCGCTGAAATGTTGCTGAGTGCGGCGTTAAACAGCAAAAACAAACAAAAGGTTGTCACATGGATCGAGGCTCATACAGTCCACTTTTGGTATGCAAGCTTCAGCGTTAACGCTTCTGTGAGTGATACAATGACGGGTTTTTTCAGCTTAATATCTACATCAGCTTGTACATAAACGAGTTTCTACAATACGTACCGCCGGTTGAAGTCAAAGCAACGACTGATCTTCCACGACGTGGTGTTACGGCACACACTACGTCAATAAACACTGGGTACCTACTCTGCCCCTGGGCCCACTTGCACAAAGCGACCTTAGCTCTACGACTATTGTAAGCCTATGTTAAAGAATGGGAGTTACGATCATCTTAGCGCTAAGATCGCTTTGTGGAATAGTGCTAACTGCGGCGTAAAACATTACTCACTCATTCATGACACACAGCATGTCAAGCAAACAAAAAATGGATTTTGTAAAATCCTAGGCAAAATGATTATTTCCCCGTATTCTCTTGAAAAATTGTTGTCCTCAGATGTCACCTAAATAGTATCCGTCTCACATATGACGTCATCTATCCACGACTTCAATGTGAGCACTTTTTGCATTCGTCACCACTCGCCCCTCTGTAATCTGCAATAATAAGGGCTTGTCCCGGAAATACACGAGTTGGTCACGAATGCAAATTTAAGTTGCACACCAAACCGTTTTTTACAAAACGAGCGTGAATATGATTTCATTTTGCGAGGCACTCGAGTTTCTTGCACACTCAGGGAAAAACGATTTTATTATCTTTATGTCTTTATGTCACGAAGAACTGGTGCCTTCTATGTTGAAACCCGTTGAGAGACTAACAACTTCATTATGACGTTATGTATGACGTGACGTCATAAGTATTATGATGCCAACAATGACATCACTCCAATGATGCTGTTATGTCTGTAGGGTGCGTGAAATCCTGATATGAATGAGGTTCGAATGGCTTTTCATAATCTCGCTTATCTTGAAACGGTGATCCATGTATTTGAACAGTTCGTAACGATAGTGAGTGCATATATAAAGTATGCACACTTAACTAACAAACACACAGAAATCCATAGCAAAAATCTTAAATTTTATTTCAAAATAAATGACTATAATAGACGTACCAGTAAATACAATAGGTATCCAATGCGCATGTTTGTTTGTTGTTTAACGCCGTCTTCAGCAATATTCCAGCTCTATGACATCGGTCTGTAAATAATCGAGTCTGGACCAGAAACTCCATTGATCGACGTCATGAGTATCGATACTCGCAGTTGGATACGATGACATGCATCAAGCAAGTCAGCGAGCCTGACCACCCGATTCGTCTCTTGGTCGCCTCTTACGACATGCATGAGTTGCTGAAGACCAATTCTAACCCGGATCTTCAGGGGTCTATTCGCAAGTATTCGCACTGCTGCCCTCAGGCTGAGACATCTGGACAAGAAATCCAAATTTCTTGATTCGCATTCATTCCCCATACCAACGAGTTCCAACCACATGAAATATAGACTGTCTCTTCGAATGATACATGTAACCTACGTAGACATGGCAACAGGTAATACCACCATAGGATGTATTTTACTGGAAAAGACATTGTTTGGCTTCATTGCTCCATTCATTCAGACGAGTTCCGCTTCGTAGTCTTTGGCCGTTTTCCCAAAGCGATCGTAGCGCTAAACTTTAACATACACTTGCGACAGTCGCTTTTACGGTCGCTTTGTGAAACGGCGCCCAGGATTTGAGTATGAAAACAGCCCCCTTACACATTTTTTAACTGTCTCACTTATGAGTGAGTGAGTGAGATGGGTTTAACGCCGCTTTTAACAGTATTACAGTTATATCACGGCGTGTCAGCTCAATGTGGGAGGAAAGCCCGAGGTGATGCAGGTCTCAGACGTTTACCACTTCGGTGAAACGGGTATGGTGCTGACAAATCTAGAAACATAATCGGGGCGAACTGGATTCGAACCCACAATCATAGGTTTCTGGCGTGTCCAAGGGAGGCAACTCTGCACAGCGAATCGCGGCGCCTTAGACGACTATGAGCAAAACGATCTCGAAAAACATTTTTATATGCAGCATAACATGATTTTTTGGTTTGGTTTGTTGTTTAACGCCACACTTAGCAATATTCCAGCTACATGACGGCGGTCTGTAAATAATCGAGTCTGGACCAGACAATCCAGTGATTGACAACATGAGCATCGCTCCACGCAATTAGGATACGATGACATGCATCAACCGAGTCAGCGAGCCTGACCACCCGATCCCGTTAGTCGCCTCTTACGACAAGCATAGTCGCCTTTTACAGCAGGCATGGGTTGCTGATGACCTATTCTTCCCCGGATCTTCACGGCTCGCATAACATATGAGGTACGATGGTGCTGCGAGTAGGGTAACAAATATGACAACTCAAGGGTTAGAAACTTTAGGAAAAGTTAGGGAAACTATCTGTACCAGCGAGAGTGACGTGAATGATCAAGCTCCTTCCCAGCGCGTGACATCGCCCTGACCCTCCCTGTGACAAGCGGCCATACTTAAATCTTGAAATGAACCCTCTAACCCCAAATGTAGTGACATTTATATTTTTGTGCATGTCTTTGGGAACGCCTTTCTTGTCAATTGGACAAAAAAAATTACGAGTGTCTTACTGTTTCCCAGATAAATTTACGTTTGTTCGTTTAATCAGATTGGTTCGAGATTTCAGACCAACGGGAAAGTACCCAACACCCCCCTATGCATCCTCACTAAACTAATTACATGATAGATGAAATTAATTGAAATTCAAATTGACAAACAAGCAAAACAATTTAGCTGGGGGAAGAGTATTTGGTGTTACGAAAGTCATCACTTGTTTGTAAACATAGCGGTCAGTCGGTATCGAGTTCAACTCCATACATGGTTGTATCCCGCCTAGCACAGCTGGGAGTCACACTGCTCCACGCGATAGTATGTAGAGCGCTACACGAAGGGCTATCGCTGTGAGGAGCTTGGCGAATGATACTCTTTCATGGTTACCGGGCCGACGTGATTGTATTGCCTGATTTCAATAATACGTCATCAGAAGAGTTTCCAAGGATGTTTCTTCAGCCATTTCCTCTTCTTTTCTTGAAAATATTTAGTTGAAAGATGCGAAAAGTCAATATTATTATAGTACTTAACATGCGGTAAATTAGCAATGTAGTGTTTGTCAACAGTCTGGAGTAGTGGATGGACCAGACGACGATGTAACCACGACTCCAGACAATCCAGAGGAACCGGGTCAAGGTCGTTGTTGAACTTGTTCGCGATGACGTTGGGTCTAGACGTCAACCATTTCAGATCCCCAGAGCCGAACACACAGACGCTGCGGACGAAGGTGCCGTGGCAGACGTCCCTGTCCCAGTTCCAGATGAGGGCGCGGGAGGCGTGGGTGTTGAACGTCTGCCTCGTCTCCACGTACGTTCCTCCCGGCGCCCACGGCAGAGTGTTCAAGGTCGCCCAAAGGTTCTCTTCCGGTGATGACGTGTCATTTAACCAGTTAATTAACTTACGTGCAACATCGTCCGTTAACACAAACTGCACAAATTCTCTTTTAAACATACCATACGCACTCCCCTTGCTCATTTGTATGTCGTACCCAAACGGCTCCTTGTCGACGTTTGTCTGTTCAAGTTTACCGTCGGTGATTAGGAACTTCTTCTTGAATCGCCATTCTTGAAATCGAGGATGGTCGTAGCTCTCTATATCGTTTGCGCCGTTAAGTCTCTTCAACATCATAACAATCTCAAGGTTGGTCCGCAGTGGGAACTCTTGACCTGCAAGGTTGATGTAATATTTCCACTTGACCTTGGACTCCATAAGCCTCTTCATACACTTCATCTCAGCGTGAATGGTCGCAGAGCTCATATACACAACATTCGTTCGGTCATCAATGACCTCCACGTTGTCAAGGCAACGTGCGATGGACTTCATAGTATCAAACACTCCTGCTTCCGCCTTTTGGTCGACGTGAATGCAGTAGACGTTGTGGGGCCGGTAGATCGTCCTCAGCAACTGCTCTGCCTGTTCTGGAGACGTATGCATCTTGATTGCAAAAGCAAGTGGGTATTCTAGTTCCTGTGAGGTCACCGGTTTGTCTTCGTAGCCACGGGCGTGCCTGTACCTCGAACAGTTCTTTAATAAGTTCCCAAGTGTACAATGAGGTCTCGGAATTATCGGCTTCATCTTCACGTCAGCGCCTTTCACTAAAGATATGCATTGGTCTGTCACCTCAAAGTTTAATGTACAATCGTCACTCCCTGAGGAACTTTCAGTCTTGTTTGCAATAACAATGTCGTCGGTATCATTAAGTCCCGTTTTGACAATAGTTGCGTTAGTTTTATGTGGATGGAATTTTAGCACTGTCAGCAATTTGAACCTCACGGGAACACCCACATCCATCGGCGGTTTGGACAACCCAGTGATTACACTCATCCGTGCCCGGCTCGTGACGTCGCCCTTGGCCTGGAGTTTGGAGGATATGATTGGCCCCAGGAAGATCAGGGCGTTCCATATAGAGAGGACTAGCAAGGTGTAGGTCACGCCGATCGGCAGCAAAAGTTGGACGCAGCGGGAAGGCATCCTGAAACAGAGCAAGTGAGTGAGTGAGTGAGTGAGTGAGTGAGTGAGGTAGTAAACGCCGGAAATGGGCTTCACACGTTGTACACATCAAACCCAATCAAACCCGAATCTTCGGCGTGACGACCGAACGTTTTACCACTTGGCTACCCCACCGCCCTTTAGTGTTGGAGACCGCCTCCGTGGTCTAGTGGTAGAGCGTCCGCCCGGAGAGCGGAAGGTCCCCGATCCCCGGTCGCGTCATACCAAAAGACGTTAAAAGATGGTACTTGTTGTCACCCTGTCTGGCGCTCGGCATTAAGGGGCTAAAACAAGGACTGGTCGGCTCGTAGTCAGTATACTGTGTCTGAGTGGGGTATTCATGTTAAACTGCGGCATGGTATCTCAGTGAGCTAGCACTATAAATCGGCATCAGTCCGGACTAGTACAAGCAGCCACACAAACACACACACGTACATGCACGTCGCTATATAAGTGCAATAATCTTGGACGCCACGTTAAATCCCATTTCACCTCACCTCACCTTTAGTGTTGGATAAGGAAAGTGGAACTGTGTTATACAGATAGAGAATAACAGTTACTGGTAACGTATGTACCACCGTTCTAGCTGGCTGATACCGTTTCTTATATCTATATGAGGTGAGGTGAAATTGGGTTTAACGTCGCGTCCAAGATCATTGCACTTATATATAGTGTGTGTGGCTGCTTGTACTAGTCCGGACTGATGCCGATTTATAGTGCAAGCTCACTGAGATACCATGCCGCAGTTTAACATGAATACCCCACTCAGACACAGTAAACTGACTCCGAGCCGACCAGTCCTTGTTTTAGCCCCTTAAAGCCGAGCGCTAGACAGGGTCACAACAAGTACCATCTTTTAACGTCTTTTGGTATGACGCGACCGGGGATCGGGGACCTTCCGCTCTCCGGGCGGACGCTCTACCACTAGACCACGGAGGCGGTCTCCAACACTAAAGGGCGGTGGGGTAGCCAAGTGGTAAAACGTTCGCTCGTCACGCCGACTAATAATCATAATGGGAAAGAATATGTGTCAGTTGTGTCCACAAAAGGGGCCCATTCCAAAACAAATACCGCCCCTAACGCGTATAATCTATATTTCAAATAACGTATGTTTGGTCCGAGACATATATGAGAGTGATACATGGACGCATTATAATGCACAGTCTAAAACGAAAATGATACATTGTGTATACGCTTTAGTGGGTCTGGTTGCATAATCTGCTGCACGTGACACTTGACAAAAAAGGTTTCCAAGTCTTTGATGGCATTTAGGAGTCTGAAGACCAGGAAGTCATGAAACTATTTATGGATAACAAGTTCTGTATTGGCTGTAACGATGTCTCAAGGCCACGTCTTGGTCCTTCGCTAGGTGATTACTGTGTAAGCGTATTGAATTATATACAACACTACCTTTGACAGGTGAAATGGGGTTTAACGTCGCGTCCAGTATTATTCCTCTTATATTGCGACGTACATGCACGTGTATGTGTGTGGCTGCTTTTACTAGTCCGGACTGATGCCGATTTATAGTACTAGCACACTGAGATACCATGCCGCAGTTTAACATGAATACCCCACTCGGACACAGTATACTGACTCCGAGCCGACCAGTTCTTGTTTTAGCCCGTAAATGCCGTGCACCAGACAGGGTAACAACAAGTACCGTCAATTAAAGTATTTTGGTATGACGCGGCCGGGGATCGAACCCCGGACCTTCCGCTCTAAGGGCGGACGCTCTACCACTAGACCACGGAGGCAGGGATAGGAAGAAATAGTATCCGATATTGTCATGGAACGTAAGCACATGTAGCTTCATTTCAAGTTGATTAAACATAAGCACACAGTTCAATACGTTGTCGCGTTACGTCACAGTCTGATATATCTTAGTATCCCCACTAAAAGTTGCGTAGTATGAATATATGCTGATATATTCACGCCGGGTAGGATTAATATACAAATATAACACTATAACGAGGAAACCAGTGATATTAACGGGCGAGAAGCCAATTATGTGGCAGTGAAACAGTGAAACAGTGAAACAGTGAAACAAAGAGCTGACTTGTGTGACAACGTAACTATCAAGATGTCCATTTGGGGTTATTATTGGTTATAGCACTTTGCAATATACGCTGGGTGATATTCGCTAACTCAGTATTCACCGCGGCAAGTAGTCCTGACACGTCATTACAAGCAATAAAGAACCTGACCACACCAAGTTTCATGTCATCAAATTCATGCTGCATTCGACTTCCCTTTGAAAATGTTTACAAGACCAAATACAGATCGATATTTCAAGCACACAGTTTAAGAACGTAAAACAACATATACTAGTAGATAGAAGATACTCATTCAACGGGCCGACAATATCATATTCTGGATGTTCTGGGTGCCATTGTACAAAGCGACCTTTGCCCTAAGGTGATCGCAACTCCCATACCTTAACATAGACTTAGTCGTAGCGCTAACGTTGTTTTGTACAACGCCCTGAACAAGTATGTGATGTGGATCCCACAAGAATTGCTTGGCTCTTTATTTCAGATTATTAGATGTACGGCTCCGAGATACAGTTAAATAAAACAGTAGACTCTTTGAAAACACACCTGCATGAATGGTGCCGACCATTTAATATACTGGATGTCATGAAGTCTTATCTGAACAATTTTGTATTATGAGTCCCAAAAGAATTGTTTGGCTTTTTTTTTATATTATGTATTGTCGGTACCAAAGAATTGTTAACTCTTTCTTTCAGATTATAAAATGTACAGCTCCGAAATACAGTTTAACAAAACTAAGTGTATTCTCTAAACACTCACCTGATGAAAGCTAATGGGGCATCAGTGTGTATTATTCCGGGCAAACGCACATTGATTAAACCCCCGTTTCACCTCTCACCTTCTTTTATACCAGTCCGAGATCCGTGAAGGACAGGTTACCGCCGACTCCTTGTTCTGCATTCATCACCTGGTTGTCCAGCGTCCCCGATCTCCTTAATCACCTGTACACCCTCCCTGTTCACCTCTGACCCCCCTCCCCCTCCCACGGCCCGCGTATCATCGTCACGTGCGTGCTCTCTTGTCAAGAAGGCGAGAACATATCTGTTTCGGAATGATGGAGCGGCCATCTTGGATACCGCAAGGATGTAAACAGCTTGTTGATCTATTCCAAACCTGCTTTTAAGTTTGAAGTATAATCACGTGTGTATATTAATTAAGGCGCATTCAAATGTACATGTACTTGATATTTACAGTATCTTATAATCTCACTTTTTCGCAAACACCTGATATCTTCACTATTTGATAGAGATTCATAAACACATACTTAAAATATAGTCGGAATCGTACAATCTACTCATCTTTCAGTAGAGCTTTTTTATGACAATAGGAATGGTGTTGTCGTTTTTTGTTACACTATTCTGGGTGTACAGCATCAGTCTTAAGGCCAAGAAATGCAAATAACATTTGATATTCTTGATAAAGGACACTGGAACCCCGTTAATCCGGAAACTCCACCTTCTGGACCACTACTGTTTGGAACATCTACATCTTTTCAAGGTCACTGCTGTGTAAACATGATTCGCTAATCCGGATGCGATAAATCTTGAAATTAATGCGTCTCCAAATTAATACGACCGCTGACCTTAGCAAAAAATGCGACTCAATATCAATGCGACTCCCCCCACCCCCTCCCAAAGGAATGATACATATCCCTACCTTAATCCATCTTTACCTTAATCGAATCATTTTTTTCGCATTTAATTCACGCTCGCGTTAATTTCAAGGTTTACAGTTTTTGCTTACCGGATGTTCAAATATGAAACGGCACCGTCCAGACTCAAAGGACTTAACTCGGTCTAATGACCAGCTTACAATTGAAGACAACAGATAATTTAAGTTTTATTTCATAGAAGCTCGCATCATAGCTTGAAGCAATTCCACGTTCCGGTAGTCGTGCACACGTTGTTCCCAAAGGCCGAAGATATTGACTTTATATTCCTGAATTTGATTTTTCAGTGCATTCAGGGATCAGCCCCCTTATCACCAACATCTGATATCAGGCTATCCCCCTGTCCGAGAGGGGTGGTCGGGAAGTTAAAGCGTTCGCTCGTCATGCCGAAGACCCGGGTTCGATTCCCGACATGGGTACAATGTGTGAAGCCCATTTCTGGTGTCCCCCGCCGTGATATTGCTGGAATATTGCTAAAAGCGGCGTAAAACCATACTCACTGACTCACTCTGTCCGAGCACTTCGAGCACGTGATACCTACTCGCCTGGCTCCTACTCAACATCCCGTGTTACAAAGTCTTGCTTCTCGATCTTTCCAATATGCCGCTGCTTCACGATGGAATTCTCTTCCACTCAGCTTCAATCAGCTCCTACTCTGTCATCCTTCAAGTTAAGACAATATTCATTCAAAACAATTTCTCCTTTGTAAAAAGTAAACTTCGGTTATAGCAAACTCAAAGGGAACTCTATTATGAATTATAACCGAAGTTCGTTATAAACATATATACAGCAAATGGCCGGGGATAAGAAACCAGTTTGTTCTAAAAGTTCGCTATAAACGTAGTGTATATATTCTGCAAAAAAAAGCACTAAAATCGTAAATATCTGACAGTGTTGCAGACATCCATACAAAATTAATACCCAAAATAAAGACGTCATTTCTGCATGGATTTGGATTGAGTTGTGTGAAAAAAATGCGGTACTGTAGAAATTTGGTGAAAAGATGGAAAATATCGCAAAAACACAACCACGAGAGAGCCTTGCGCCGAAACACACCAACGTGACATGCGCGTGCAACATCACTTATAATAAATAATAATAAATGTTGGGTTTTCATTTGCATGCCGTCACAATCTTACAGCAAGTGAACAGCAAAAACATGCCACGACTGACGGAAGCCCAACGCATCAACTCCATCGGCCGACTGCAAACAGGAGAATCATCTTCAGCTGTAGCCAGGTTTTATCAAGTAGCACCAA